ATACATACATACATACATACATACATACATACATACATACATACATACATACATACATACATACATACATACATACATACATACATACATACATACATACATACATACATACATACATACATACATACATACATACATACATACATACATACATACATACATACATACATACATACATACATACATACATACCAGGGGCGAAGGCTGACTTGTTTGACAGGGTAATCAAAGTGAAATGGGACCAGATAGGGCCTGGAGATATCACACTCACCCAAGTCACAAGAATCTTACTGGCACTGGAGGCGGCAACTCTTGAGTTGTGAATGAAAACAAATCCTGAATTCATGTTGTATGCTTGTTCAACCGCTAAAACAATCGGGAAATTTATTAAATATTTATTCTAACTAACCTTAAATTTAACTTTAGATTTGAACACACGAACACCAAGGAAAGAAGCACAGATGTCAGCACTACAATGGCATGTTATACCAGACAGCCGAAACACTTTGGTAGAGCACGCCAATTATTAATTTTTTATTTCACATTTGGCTGTTTTTTGTCTAGCTTTTCGCGGCCAGGAGCCGCTGTCATAATCGAGGTCACGATCTGATTATAGGACGTTAAAAATTCGGGGGGAAAAACAAGCACTAGCAGTGTAGTCGGAGCACCGGGGAGTTAGTTCCCCTCACATCTGTGAGGTAGACTCGACCAGTGTAATAGTTCGCTTAGATAATCAGCGCGTCTGGGTGCTTATAACTGTGGCCCGAAAGGGGTGAACAGGGTATATGCGACAATGAAACAGCTCTGACTGCTATGCACATGTTCCCTTCAAATCTATTGGTTGACTCTTCCAGTCTCACTTTAAGCTTACTTAATCAAAGCTTGTGGCTGCTTATGGAGTGGCCCGATAGGGGCGAGCAGGCTATTTCTGTGGCAATGAAACGGTTTTGAATGTTAGGCATAGTCTATTGTTCATTGGTGATTATGAACGTCTTTTTACATTTAATTTATGAGGTTTACGTCTATGGGTGAATTTGACTGCGACAATGTTTCAAAATTAGGAAGGGAAGCAATGATTATTTGATTATATAGACGCTTCGCCTCTGAACATACATACATACATACTTACTACATGCATACATATAAACTTACATTCATCCATGCATACATACATACATACACACGTACATACATACATACGTATATACATACATACGTACATACATACATACGTACATGTACACACACACACATACATACACACATACATACATACATATAGACAGACAGATAAACAGACAAATAGACAGACAGACAAACAGGCAGCCATTTTATTATAGAGCGTTGTTTCTTTACACTGCTGTTACAAAAGCGGCAAGGCTTCACAGAGGAACTACTTGTTCAAATTAACACTTTGGGTTTTTTTTTACTTTCACGTTATTTAGAAAAACAAAACTCACAAGAAAAGAAAGCACGATTTGCAAAAATCATGATTGCTCCGATGAAAAAAAACCCAGCACTTATGTATATTTAGAATTTTATTGTACAAATTGCTAGCCAGTAAAGAAATAAAAAAAGAATCTTACTGATTTTTTAAAAGCTCTTTGATATTGATCGTGATTGAATCAATAACATAGGCCTTACCTCCCCTTTCCCAGTTGCTTCGCCCTCGCCACTGCCCGGGACATCCTGAAACGAGACGTTGATGAAATTGAGGGAAATATAACATGGCAATATTAGCTCAATTATTTGGAGCAAGACAGTGGGGGAGAACGAGAGTACAGAAGAGAAAGAAAGATCGGTCACTGAGAGGATTTTACTTGTTGCTCTCTCTCTCTCTCTCTTTCTCTCTCTCTCTCTCTCTCTCTCTCTCTCTCTCTCTCTCTCTCTCTCTCTCTCTCTCTCTCTCTCTCTCTCTCTCTCTGTCTGTCTGTCTGTCTGTCTGTGTGTTTATCTTTCTGTCTGTCTGTCTGTCTGTCTCTCTCTCTCTCTGATTGACTGTCATAG